CAAACTACATAAACTTAAAATATCGAAAAATATACAGCGCGCGAATTTTAAATGAGAACCTCCGAAAACCTTTCGGTCACAATGTATTGCTAACATTCTCTTCTTGAAGTACTTTTGTGATAAGAGTTAGGCTACCCCCAATTTTGCTTATATTCCATTCGTAAGCCATGATGGACCCCATTTCCATAATTCTGACTGCATCAATTGTTATGCTTTTATACCATGAGTTAATATATCTGCAGGATTACATTTGTAATCACAATGACGCCAGTCATATACATTTGTTAGTTTATTAATTTCGCTTACTTTTGAGCTGATATTTTGTTTTACTTGTTTACCGTCTCCAGTTATCCATTGAAGAGTTATGCTTGAATCTGTCCACAAGTTAATTGAAGAAAAATTTATGTTTAATTCAAGCTTTAAAAAATTTGCTGATCTGATTGCGCGGCAGTTAGCTTTAACTTTGGTAAAGTGAGTTCGCTTTTATTTTTATTTTTAAAATGACTTACTCTGTTTTTAGAACATATAAGGCTTATGATTAATTTACCACTAGACAAAATTTCTTGTAGGTATACAATCGGGCTAGCATCTGCAAAAACATGTAGTTGAATTGTTGACAAATTGGATTTTACCAGGGATCGATTAATAGAAAAATATTTTAAATTATGTAAATCATCACACCATTTTTTAAAAACATCAGCTTCCAGGTAAGGTAGAGTCCCAGTCTAAATTTTCCTTCCATATCCTCTGCAATAGTATTTTAATTTTTACAGTAAGCGGACCTAAAAATCCTACGGGGTCATAAACTACAAACATAATCTTTAATGCATTGCGTTTAGTTGGTCTTAAATTCCGGGAAATCTCTATACAGTGAAATAAATTTATAAATAAATTATCTTCATAAATGTTCCATAAAACGCCAAGCACCTTTTGTATCGGATGCTGTTCTTCATTACTTTCTTCAAATTTTAATCGTAAGTCTTCGCTGTTGGAGGTCCACTTTCGGAAATTAAAACCTCCTATTTTCATTATTTTCGTTGCAATGAGGTATAAATATTCAGCTTGAATAGGTGAATAGTTGGTAGACTAATTATTAAGTCGTCTACGTAAAATGAGTTTTTAAGTTTGTCACATATTAAACCGTATTGTTTAACATTGCCTTGCAGATGTTGCTACATTGTCGACGCTAATATAAAAGGACTAGATATTACACCAAAAGTTACCCTTACCATTCGATAAGTTGCAATTTCCGCTGGTTTGCTATCATCTCTTAAATTTAATGAAATTCTGATTTAATGAAATTTATAAAAATGCTTTCTCTATATCTGCACTCATTGCAATTTTGTGACAACGAAACCTTAGCAATATCGAAGTCAAGTCTGCCAATAAGTTCTCACCTGAATAAAGCATTAAGTGATGCCATTCCTGGGTTAAGGGCCCATTAGACAGCATCGCCCGGTGTCATCAAATTTTTTAAATTTTGCATATCTGACTGCTATAGCTATACACAACTGCTATACATTTGTTCCAGAAATACGCTATCAAATTCATTAAAAAAATTAGTACGGATATTAAAAAAACTATTTAGTTTTCCGATGGATCGGGTTCACAATATAAAAATAAAAAAAATTTTTATTAATTTAACTCATCACAAAGCGGACTTTGGTTTGGAAGCAGAATGGCACTTTCTTCCAATGACACACGGCAAAGGACCATGCGACGGCTTAGCTGGTACCATAGAGAGGAATGCTGCAAGAGCTAGCCTTCAACGAATAAATAATCCCATCCAAACACCAAAAGAATTATTTAACTGGGATAAGGAATGTTTACCAAATATTGTGTGCCATTTCTCAACGTTAAAAGACTATGAAGTAGAAGAAGATAAGATTAAACACCGCTTTGAAGCAGCTACATCAGTTAAAGGCACATTAAAATTTCACTGCCTTATTCCAAATTCCAAAAAAGTATTACTGGCAAAAATAATTTCTTCTTCAGACATTACAGATTATGTATCAATAATTTTTTTTTTTTTTTATTTTTTTTTTATTATTTGAAACACAATATGTACAATAATATAAATTCATGTTTCATTTGACTACGACTAGTTCATACAAGAACTATCAAGCAGTTTTGTTACATTTCAGTATACTTATTAAAATTGTGAAGTTGTCAAAGACTTAGTGTTAATAGTAGTAATCTAAATTATTATTAGACTACTAATTCGGGAGTAGATCTGAAGGCTTTGTTCGTTTAAGTCTTCTCAGCAGGCCTGATGTATTAGACAGATGGTTGACTGTCTCGTTTGGATGCTGTTGTAATCGTTTTTGGTGCTTTATCGCGAACTTCTGGATTACTGCAGCCACAGATTCGATCTTCAAGTCCCGATGGAGGTCAGTATTCCTAATAAACCACGGAGCGTTGACTAAGTTTCTTAAAACTTTGTTTTGAAAGTTTTGAATGATTTGAATAGTGGATTTTGGTGCACAACCCCATAACTGGATTCCATACGTCCACACCGGAGCTAAGACTTGCTTGTATACCATTAATTTATTGTTTAGAGAGACGGGTGATTTGTTCCCAAGAAGCCAATATAAATTTTTGTATTTGGATTCTAATTCAACTCGTTTTTTCTTTATATGTTCTTTCCATTTCAACTTAGCATCTAAGTTCATGCCAAGGTATTTAGCTGTGTTTGAGTATGGTATTTGAGCACTGCACATATTTATCGGCAAATATTCAATTTTTTTGTTTGTGAAGTTTACATGGACGGATTTCGTTTGGTTGAGCTCAATTTTCCATTTTTTAGTCCAACTAATAATTTGATCAATGGAACGCTGCGTTGCTTCTGTTGATTCGTTTATTGTGTTTCCAGTGGTAAGGATCGCTGTATCATCTGCAAACGTGGCAATAACACTTTCTGGTGAGACTTGCAGGTCGGCTGTGTAAATTAGGTACAGAATTGGGCCAAGTATACTTCCCTGCGGTACTCCGGCTTCAATTGGTTCAAGTGTTGAGTACGCACCTTTATATTTTACTCTGAAGAATCGGCAAGATAAGAAGGACCACATAATTTCGGATATTTGTCTCGAAAACCACTGTTCAATCTTATGCACAAGTCCTTTGTGCCAAACTTTATCAAATGCTTTCGATACGTCTAGGAAAACTGCAGTGCAAATTTTTTGTTCTTCAAGTGCTCTTTCGATTTTGTCGCATATTCTGTGTATTTGTTCTACAGTGGAATGCTTTTTTCGGAACCCAAACTGATGACTCGGAACTATTTGATTTTCTGTGAGAACAATCTGTATTCTATTAAGGAGAATTCGTTCAAAGATTTTTGATAAAATGGGTAGTAAAGAAATTGGACGATACGACGAAACTTCATTAGCAGGTTTTCCTTGTTTGTGTACCATAAGTACTTCCGCCACTTTCCAATAAATTGGGAAGTGTCTTAAGCGCAGAGCTGCGTTAATTATTTTGCATAGTTTGATTATTTCTTTATTAGGGAATTGGTTTAAGATCTCAGCGGTTATCTGATCCCAACCAGGAGCCTTTTTTAGTTTCATATTTCTTATTTCATTTTTTATTTCTCTTAGCGAAGTTGGTTGTATTGCTTGGTTTAATGGATTTAAATTAGACGTAGGAAGATTATTTCCATCATCATTTAGTGTAAATGTTGCTTTAAGAAATTTTGCGAATAAATCTGCTTTTTCTTCGTCACTTTTGGCCCATGATGTGCCATCTGCTTTAATAGGAGGATTATGTTTTATAGGATGTTTTACTGCTTTCACGGCTTTCCACAGCGAGTAATCTGTGCGTTTCTCATAAGAAAGGCTTCTAAGATTCTGTTGTATCTTATCATTTTTAACATTATTGATAAGTTTTCGTAGTTGTGCAGTTTTCCTATTTAATTCCGTTTTGTCAGTTGGTGATCGTGTTTGTTGCCATTTTTTACGCAATTTCCTTTTTTCCCATATTAGTTTATTTATTTCTTTTGGAAGAGTTGGTCTAACCTGGTGTTTAGAGAACTGTGAAGTGCTCATCCATGCTGATTTTTGAATCTGCTGTGTAAATAGAAGAACTTCGTTATCCACTTCAGTCGCTGAGTTTAGATCAGAGTTAAGATTAAGACTGTTTTCAAGATGCAGCCTAAAGTAATCCCAGTCAGTAGATCTATTTATTAGGTAAGGCTTCGGTTTATTTATGACTACACTTTTATTAATAGAGAGGTGCACAGGTGAATGATCAGAAGAGATATCATATCCATTTTCTATTTGTAAGAGTTCTTTTGGTATTTTTTTTAGTTATAAAAAAGTCAATCAGATCCGGTATTTTCGCTGGGTCAGTTGGCCAATATGTTGGGCTTCCAGTTGATAAGACATCACATCCTGTGGCTTGTATGGCTTTTAATAGTTCTCGGCCCTTAGTTGTAGTTAATCGCGAACCCCAATGGACATGTTTAGCGTTGAAATCGCCACCAATAATGAATTTATTTTTAAATTTAGAAAGAAAGTTTATATATTGATCTGTACTAATAGAATGTCTTGGAGGACTGTAGACCGAAATAATTGATAATTTTTGATTTTGTACTTTTATTGTAACAGTTGTGGCTTGAAACTCGCTACAGCTGATATTTTCCTCTTCATAGTGACTGATGGTTTCCTTTATTATAATAGCACTTCCCCCTCGTGCATTGTTATTCGGGTGAGTAGTGTGGTAAGTTTCATAACCTCTAAATTTTATATGTGATTCCCTCGTAAAGTGCGTTTCTGCTATTAGACATATATCGATGGACTTTTTGTAAAGAATAGTCTGTAGTTCGTTTTGTTGATGTAGCAGCCCATTTGCGTTCCAGAGCATAACTTTTATTGAAGACTGCATTACATACGGTGTTTGGGAAGGATCTGTTCTAGTTTACTTATCCGTTCATCTAAAACTTTATTAAATTTTTCCTGGTTTTGTAGCGGTTGAAGTACCAACTGCAAGGTTGAAGAAATTTCTCCAGGGTTTTGAGAGTTATTATTTGATTTTAGTGCTTGGGCATATGAAGGTGTTTCATAATTTTGTGTTAGTTTAGAAACTGGCAAATTTTTTATATATTCAGTGGCAGCAGAGTTGGGTTTATCTGGCTTACTACTTTGGTTGTCTTTCTGAACGGTTTTGTTTCGCATCTTTTGTAGCTCTTTGGCTACAATACATCCGCGATAGTTAGCTGGATGAGATTCGCCACAATTGCAGCATTTTGGTAAAGTTTCTGCTGGTTTTGTACAGCTTGTTGTTGGATGCTTTCCCGTACATTTGACACATCTTGCCATTTTTGAACAGTAGTTCTTTGTGTGACCAAAAGTTTGACAATTTTTACACTGAGGTATTTGGTTTGGTCTTTTTACTGCTTCAATGGAGACAATAGTAGCTAATATTTTATTTATTCCGTAAACCTTTTTAATATCTTCAATAGACTCAAAGGTGAGCAGAAACATATCTAACGGCTCCTTTGTTTTCCATTTAAATTTCCGATCTGCACTTATGGCTTTGAGCCCTTGTCTCTGTAAGTCCTCGACAATAAGTTTAGGTTCACGGGAGTGATGCAGGTTTTTAACAATAACACGAATAGGTCTTGTTTGTTTATCTTCATATGAGTACCAATCTATCTTAGCATTAGACAGCAGCTTTGTTATGCTTCTGTAGTCATCTGCTTCCCTGGTATTGAGTTTATACTTCCCGTTATTTATAAGCTTGAATGAAAAATCAGTTTTCGCAGTGTTTTTAATGTCTTCGTAAATCTTTATGTAATCAGTAACTCCTGATATCATTATTGGAGGGGGAGAATGCACTTTGGGGCCTTTAGTATTTAATAGAATTTCCGGTTTCGGATTGGGATTTGTATTTTTATCATATGAAACATGAAGCTCTGGAGAA